AAATCTTATACAGAATGAATTCTCAGGACGTTGGTGATCTGTTTCTTCTAGCACCACACTGAGGTTGACATCTCTGCTTGTGTTTGGAATTACTAATCATTTAGTTCCACCTTCTAGTCAAAATTCCAATTTAATTCACGACCAAATTCCTCCAAAGCAACCAGCATTCCCCACAACTGTACTTTGTGTTCCGTGCTAAATAGCAAATGCAAGCATGCTAATGTGCCGCACTGAGCTGGTGAAGATGGTATAAACAGCATATCTGCTGTAAGCGTGCTGATATCAGCTCAAAGCACAGCCTCACAGCGCTTTGAGCTGATCTGTTGACTCTACATCTTGGTCAAAGAAATGCTGCACAGATTGGTCCCGATGTCCATTTATGGTAAAAGAAGTAGACTCTTTTCTTTTTTACATAGATTGAATAGTTTCATCGAATACAAAGCTTTTACCATACATGAACATTGCTGCTGATGTCCATGAAGAAATGTAAACATGCATAAATATAGTGTGCGGACAGATACTCACTAAATCACTTATCAAGCCAAAGAGAAAAAAAAGACATGAAAGTCATTAAATCCACTTTCTAAAAGTGTAAATATATTTAAAAATCACTCACAAGTGGCATTTCCAGCTTCTTGACAGGGAGACAGAGAAAGTAGTTAAACAGAATAATAAAGCTGCTGCCTGATGGCGGCGGCGACAGGAGCCGCTGTCTTCTGGGAGTGTGGGCGGGTATGAGCCTACAGCTAAACGAGGCCAAATGACAAGTCAGAGTGGCAATTTTCAATGTTCCAGATCCTCGTAGTGCTGCTGCTACCAGCACGCACAAGCAGTGTGCTGCTGTGTTGCAACACAATAACAATAAATGCATTGATCCACTACGCGTTTGAGCAATAATTGTTCACACAAAGTACTTCCACAACAACAGTGGGATGTGGGTGGAAGATGGGGAGAGAGGGTCAAAGAGGTGAGAGGAAGAAAACGGGTTGGAGGAAACAAGAGCAACTTATCCTCCAGGTGGCCGCTGAGGTTTATAACACATGTCACTCAAACAGGAGTAAACTGTACATCTGTTGGGGACTATTCTGAGCTGCGATACCAAAGTGAGTCGGTCGAGTTAAATCACATGAACTCGAGGGCCCATGCTCATCATGATGAAGGAACCTGTTATTCCAGCGGTGTTGCTCATTAATAGCATTTGGGCAACAATAGAGCTCAGATCATATATAGCTCAGATCAGACATTGCAGTTGGTTGACAGTAAGAAAATATAGAAAACCAGCCTCATCGCCTCTGTTTTCTGAATAAGGTTATGTTTAATTTAAAGGCCTCAAACTAATTCACACAAAAACATGGGACCAGGTGACATTCTAGCATCAGAGCTTTGGTAGTTTCTGGATGTGTGGGCAAATCATTTAGGACGTTGTGTCATGTCCGCTGAGTATATAAGAAGTGACATGAGGGTGATTGCACAGATCTGAGTTCTGTAATCATTATTTCCCTTTATGCCTCTTGGCATGTAGGGCAGCAACAAAAGTCTTCCACTCCTGTCTGTCCTGGGCGAGTCGCTGGATGGTGCCCCATGAGTGGTTTAGGCTCTGCATCTCCTTCACAGTTCTTCTCCATGTGTTTCTTGGTCGGCCTCTTTTTCTTTTCCCTTCTGGTGTCCAATGTAAGGCTGTTCTTGTAATATCAGCTTGTGCTTGATATGAAGAACTTCCAACTTCCTGTCAGTGGCTTCCTTATGACCACTGGCATTCATGCTGGCATCAATTGATACACCTGGAAACCATCACATCTAGTTGCTTTTGATACTTTTGTTGCTGTTTCCGTAACAATACTTCTTTTTACAGGACAGAGCTGTTAACCCTGAGCCCAACCCCCAACCCCCAAACCTGGAGGACCAGGTGCCGCCTTTTGTCAGACCCCTCACCCGTAACCTGCCCGGCATGGTTAAACCTGCCAAGGACCTGAGCCCCCGTCGGTATAGCTCACAGGGTCATTGAGGCACGCAAGCCTCCCCACCACATCAAGGTAGCAGCATGGGGGAGGCTGTTCTGTAATACGCCCCCATAATACATCAGACTAGCCATGCAGATTTATAATACATTCATGCAATTGTCTGAACATAAATTTTACTTTATATTGTCAAACATATTCAAGGACAAAATGAAATGGGATTACTACTGAGAGCAAACACTGCAGCCTTCACATTCATTCCTAAGGCTTCGTTAACAAGGACCCGGCTGACCCTGTGCTGCTCTGCTCCATGCCAGGAAGTACTTCAGGGAGAAGTGTATCATAAATCACACATGCAAAGCATTTCAAATGACTGAAACAATATATTCTTAGTCATTATGTGAGACGAGCACCAATATTTAGGATTAAAGGTGATGCTTTTCTGTTAGTTTGTGCGTCCACTGCGAGTGCACTTACACACAGCAAGACAG